ATAAATATAGCAATGGTTCCAAATCCTAAGGATCTGTTCTCTTTGGTGTTTTCGGGCCGTGTTCTGTTTTCTATTTTTCAAAACAGTGAAAACTCGTTCTCTTTTCCATTTTTGAAAAAGAATTTTTGAAAAAAAAAAAAAAAAAAAATTGTACACAAAATGGAAAACGGCCAATAGTCGTTTTGGATGTTTTTAGGCCAAAACACCAAAACAAGTTGAAAACATGTGAAACGGACAAAATGAAACAAATCACAACTCCACGCCATCTTCAACAAACAACAGTTTCACACCTCATGGAGTCGGCACCTTCTACTCCAAATTCAATCACTATACCGCCTGACAAATCACTAGTTTTCCACACATCAACATGTCCTCATCCCACTCTTCAATTCCATACCAAAATCTGAATGAAAGGGGAAAGATCTTGCCCAATTCAAATGCAGCGAACCACACACACTACATCCCTTTCTTCCGTCGCCGACGTTGAGAATCACGGTCGGGCACCACCACCATTACCTCCTACTCATTATGGCAGACAAGACACAAATATGGGTCTTCGTTAATTAGCTCGAATTTGCCAATCAATGAACCTACAACCAACATGCATGAAATGCCGCTTGACCTATTTCAATTGAATACTCAAATATGCTCCAATCTAAAAATCAACTTGGGGGAACTGAAATTCACCATCAAACGACACTGGGTACTCATTCAATTGCAGAAATTGAATTATTTTTCATTTATGGTATTTCAACTGAACTGTTTTTCATTTTCGAGATTGCTATTTTGGTGTCTCTGTGATGATATTACTATGCTGTTGGATAATTTAGGAATGTGATCAGAGCTGGTGGTGCTTGGTTCAATGTTTTATTCTTAATGCTATTACTGGAATCAAATGTTATTTTCTAGTGTTCATCTATTATTTGCTTGTTTTAGTTCTTTTTGTTTAATGACATTGTTACACGATCATTACTTATATTATTTCATTAGTTGTTGCTCTGTTGATCCGTTGATGGATGGTGCACTATGTGAGATCAACTTCTATATGCAAACTGTGGGGAAAAAATATTTCAAGATTCTCAAAATTTCAAAATAAACGCGTTTTCCAATTTTCTGTTTTCAGAAAAAATTTCAAAATGACAAAAAGAACGTATTTTCAACAATCTCAAAACAGACATTCAAAACACAAAATACAAAATAAATTCAAAACTCAAAACTGAAACGCAAAGAGAACAGTCCCTAAGATTTTTTGCAAACTTTATCTTAACTTTTTATTTGTGCCACTTACAATTTCAAACCTTCAAAAAATTTGCATCTGGGATCCAAGTAGATGGAACATGACTGTTAGTTGACCGATAAAAGTCAACTTTGACCAAATTGAAAGGAGTAAAATGGTAACATTAAAATTATTACATTAAATAAATAAACTAAAAAATACAAAAAAAAAAAAAAAAAAAA